CTTTCTTTTTGGATATAATTGTGTTTTTTTAATGCATAGAAGTTGCTTTCTGTGGGGTCAAAATTGATTGAGTACATGGGATGGGAATTGGGATCAGTTTTGAACCAATAAAGTAATCTTGAATATTATTATATATTTTCTTTACTGAAAACTCATGCTTTAAGATCATATTAAATTGACATTTTATGCCATTTGATATATTAGAGCATCTTCAATGCTTTAATCTTGTTGTAGAATATTTTTTTACAAATGTCAATGAATTAAATGAATTGTAAACCATATAGGAAGAATGTTAATTTTACAATTACGAAATTAAAAAATTATCTCCAATGCACAATGTAGTCTAACAATAATTCTATTTACTTATCAAATATATAGTTTTATAATATATAACAAGAAAATAATTAAATAATTAAATTGCTTGGAATTAGTAAGAATTATTCTCTCTCTTCTTCTCATTGGCTAGCTAGAATGTGGAGGAGAATGTGAAAGAACCACATTATTCTCTATATTGTAGACATTAATTATGTTCACATCATCACAACATTTGTGATCACATTGTACATTGGATGATACAAAGTTATGATATTGCTAAATGTGTTGATGTGGAATGTAATTTCCACAACAACATTTGAGCATTGGAGATGCTCTTATAACATTTTAGCAAGATTATGGAATCAGTCATGCTCAGTGACGGATCTAGAAATTTTGTTCAGGGGGGGCCCAGTTTTAAATGTTAAATAATGAGCTTGTAGATTAAGTCGAAATACTCATTTTATATAAAAATATATTTACCATAAATATAAATATAGATATGTGCACCATCAAGTTTTTAAAAACTTAGAATCAATATCACCCTCAAACTTCTTAAAAAATAATAATAATGATAATAACAATAATGAGATTTCATGTATTTATATTTAAGTTCAACATCTATAATTTATCGTAAAATAAGTTTTTTGGCTGAAAGTTTGATTTAAACTGAACTTTTGCATCACATTGCATAACATTTTTGTTGATGAGAGCTTATCAAATGAACATTTTATTTAAGAAAAAAAATAAAAAAATAAAAAATATGTGATTCCACACAGAAAAAAAAAGAGTAAAAAAATCAACATTAAAATATGTAAAAATTCAATTGATAAATAATCGATTTTATAAATCGCTAAATCAAGTTACAATTAAAAGACCGAAATAGTAAATCATTATAAATATTTTCATAAGTTTATCTAGAAATTTAAGACTTGAAGATTGTTGTTATATTTTTCATTAAATAATAGTATCATTTTAAATAAAAATAGCATAAGAAATAAGTAATTATTAATATATTTGTAAATATTTTTTACATTTCTATATATATTTTATAGTATTTCCTTATATATATATTGATTTTTAATAAGTTTTAATTAAAATATATTGTATATAATTTTTGCATTTCTTCATATTTTATATATTTCTATATATGCATAAAAGTTTGATATTTACTTAATATAGTAAAAAAATCCAAAATTTTTACTAAATATAATAATTATGTGATAATAATTGGGCTCACTTTTTTATTGGGACGTTTCTTTAAAAGTCGGAACACTTTT